CAGGTACGAACTACAAAACTCAATGAGCTACATTCGTGCCCACCGAATATGCAAGTGAACTAACTACTAAGTCACTAAACTAAACACAGATGAATACATGGCTGCCACCAGTTAACTGATATCAATGATGAATTAATGATAAATAAGAGTGCGATCGAACCGAATATTTTTTATATGCGGAATTTGCYTTAGATTTTATAAATTGAACCAAAAAAAAATAGATTAAAGTTTCTGTGTRAACTGTTTCTAACTAAATAGAATTATGATATACTGATATTATTATTGTTGTAGACTGTAGTAAATACAATAATAATATTAAGTCCCTTTTCCTACACCCACCAACTTTCCTCAAACGACTATAATATACATATTATATTCCATCTATCAATTCTTAATAATCAATTTATCATTGTAACTTAACAATAATTCACCATTTCCMGTAAGCTTAATAGCATATTTAAAAAAAAAAATTATAATTTTATGCATGGTTTTTCACTAATGATGGTTGAAAAGCAACAACCAACCAGCCAACCGCGCTGCTTTGGAAGTCAGATATGAGCAAATTCCAACCTCCCCTCCTCCCTCAAATGACGCCACTGAATATATACGATTTATGCAATGTATATTAATCCTACATTAACGGTTATTAACATGTATACTATAATGGTARTAAAAATGTACTAACACCTATGTGTCAGAATTATTGCTTGAACAACAAATCTGTGGCATATAAATCGACAGTGTTATAATCGATCTTGGCTGTATTAATTATTCAGTTGTTTATATATCCAATAGGTAGTGTTTATTAATAAAATAGCTTCATCTAAATTTGTCTTAGTTGATAAATTCCTCATCAACAATATTGTATTGCGATAAAATATATAGTTTACTTCAAGTTTAACATGAGTTTTACATTTTTATAGATCAATGCTAGAAACGATTAAGCACAATTTAAAACCAAAAATGTTCATGCTATGGATTGTGTTATTCACATTAATTATATGGACTTACTCGTATTATTCGTTGACTGCATATGAAGAGATTTTTAGTGAACCACGTTCACTTTTTTTAAACCACAGTAAGTGTTAAATTAAT